AGAGGATCTGTGGGAGGGGTGCGTGGGAGTCAGAGGGGGAGACAGAAGGCTTGACGCATCTATAGAAGACGAGATATATCCGCGTAAATGAAAAGAAAGCACTTACGGCAATTGATTTGAAAAACGCCATTGTTACATAATTGCCTTTAATGTTTGTGTGCGGGAGGGAGGTGGGCACCATTTGCTTGTCTCATAAGGCGGCCCCCCAAGGAATTATGAACGCATGCAATAGTTATAAACACGACGATTCCTGTGACAAGGCAGAAATTTTGTATCACAGCTACAGTAAGTTAAAGCTGGGGTATGCAACTTTCAATCGGTAAAAACTTGAACTGTGTAACAAAATCCACTTAAAGGTGCAGTAAGAAATTTCGTTAGCTTAGCCGTAGCACCAACTGGAAACCACTCCCCCCTCCCCTCGACCAAACCAAACATCCAGCACTTTCTTTTCTTTGTCAGAACAGGGAGAGTGGGTGGCAAACGGGAAATTGGCCTTTTCTGTTCAGTCATTTTAGGTTTTAGAAAATCCGATAACTCAGGTGTGTGCACTCGCGAGAAACAGGAAGAGGGTGAAGGGGGGTAAACACATCCCATTGGTTCGTTGGGGATGAACAAATCCCATTGGTTTATTTTTATCGGTCCGCTCCAAAATATTCTTTATTTATTTTTGGAGACTATAGGAATCTGGTCAATTTCATTACTATTTGAAAAGACATAACTTGACTACTTTTAGGGGTTTAGGGATGTTTTCTCAAAATATTTAAAACGTGCGTCTGGAAAAAAAAAAAATCACTGACTGCATCTTTAAATTAGTTCCTCTCTCAAAACAGTTTCAAACAGGGTTGAAGTAAGCATGCTGTAGTCTTGATTTGTTCACAGACAGTAAAAAGTTAAACACCCCAATAATACCTCGCAATGACAATTATTAGCAAGGTAATTGAAGATTTTTTTTTCTAATTTTACTGAGCCCTAAAACTGAGCCATGCACAAACTAAGCTTTTCCAAATAGAGTGTGGCCGGGGTGGAGTTGAAAAGCGAACAGGCATCATTGAGGCTTGTATCGCAGAGAGCCCTGAGGCATATCGTAGTTTTTACTTCTCCTACAGATTATGGCAGGATGAGCTGCACATTTCATCTTACAACTGACATAAACCCACACATGTTCATATTTTAAACACAACCAACTAGAAAACGTAAATCACAAATGGCCCATCCAGAAGTAATGCAGAGGTCTATATTTTAATGAGTTTTAAAACATAATAAAGTGTTATCTTTGAGGGCTGCAGGATTTGTCAAAGTATTCATTTTAGTGGAAATCACTGAGACTGTAATTATTTAAGTCCTCTGTACTTTCTTGTAGTTTTAATATTTGTGTAAAGGTAATTTTTGACTGAAATGAAGATATACAAAATATTTTTAACGATAAAGTACTGTTTGTACAGTCCCAGTAGTTTTATCATTCCAAGTGAGTATCCTCATTTCTATTTTAGGCAAAATATTGATCTTGTAACACATCAAATAAATGGTTAAAATATGTATAAAATATGTATTATAAATAATGTTGTAATATTGTTTATACCATTTGCTGAAATGTCTTGGCATCTGTCTGAGCTTAATGTGTCCTGTTTTGCGTAAGTTATGGCAGGTGGCATAAGCTACAAAAAATAAATGCTAAATTATTGTAGTTTTGCCTTTGAACTTCGTCAAAGTGTTAACTGGCAGAATCGGGACTGCCTATAATCTTTGTTTTTCATCCCACTGCAAGCTAACTATTCCTAACCTTAGCCCTCACCCCTAACCCCTAACCGAAACCAGATTGTGATTTTTAATATCTCAATGAAGAAATGGCAACACCTGGGACAAAATACTAGCGAGCATTCTAGTATACTATATGCTACAAACCAAACCCAACAACTTTAACATATCGTATTGTTTATAAAATCTTGCAGCTGTGACATCACACAAGCATCAAGTCTTATCAAACTGAGGGTTGGAACATCAGCATTGTGATAACTCTAATTCAAATGCAGATCCATGTCTGTTCTCCTGCTGATAAAGCCAGTACGCCAACTACCACGCTGTTATTGAGCTAACTGAACAGGAATCTCCTCATCATCAAGGTGAAAGTGTGTGGAAAGTTAAATCACCATGATATCACCCATGGGAACATCTGACATTCAACAACAGGAAGTAGTATCTGTGGCTGCCTGCATCGCTGCCTGTTACATAAGATCATAGAAGAGTGTCTTTAATGCTAGCATCAAAACAATGCGTCTTTTGACTAGCCGCATGAGTCACTGAATACCCACTCAATGTTCAGATGTTCCAGCTGGCTCCTTTCTCTTAAAATCACTTCATATTTACTACTGAAGCGAACACGGCATGTAAATAAAGTGCACTCTTCAAATAGGAGGAGAGGTCGGTGCAAACTAAGACTGCTCGATTACCGCCAAAATCGTATATTAATCACCGATTGTCTCATAATAACGGATTACGGCATTTATTGTCTGTTCAACATCACTTTGGGAGCGAGTCAAACATGTTGGTCAGAGGGCTGAATTTACACAAAGGTTTTTTTAGATGTATTGATAGTGGAAAGTGTGCTTCTGTAATTACTTTTTCATAAATTTACATTTTTTTTGTCCAAAACATTACTTTTTGTACAAATCACAATAGAATAAATTGATTTTTGGTGGATGGGTTATCACACCTTTGAAACAGGCCCACAGTCTGTACAGTACAGACCAAAAGTTTGGACACACTTTTTCATTCAATGAGATTCCTTTCTTTTCATGACTATTGACTGTAGATTCACACCCAGGCTGTGTAAGGGCTGTTTGACCAATAAGGAGAGTATTGGGTGATGGGCCAGATGACCCGGCCTCCACAGTCACCGGACCTAAACCCAATCTAGATGGTTTTGGACCTGAACCCAATCCAGATGGTTTTGGGACTGGACCACAGAGTGAAGGCGAAAGGGCCAACAAGCGCTGAGCATCTGTGGGAACTCCTTCAAGACTGTTGGAAGACCATTTCAGGTCCTCTTGAAGCTCATCAAGAGAATGCCTAGAGTGTGTGAAGCAGTAATCAGAGCAAAAAGGTGCTACTTTGAAGAACCTAGAAAATAAGACATATTTTCAGTTGTTTCATTCTTTTTGTTTTTTTGTTTAGCATGTACATAATTCCACATGAGTTAATTCATGGTTTTGATGCCTTCAGTGTGAATCTACAATTTTCTTAATCATAAAAAAAAACAAAAAACTCTTTGAATGAGGCGTGTCCAAACATTTGGTCTGTACTGTATATATATATATATATACACACACTCTTTGTGATCTGGTCAGTCCACAATTCATCAACGATGTTAATAGTATTATATTACGAATAGCTTTCAGACAGCTACTTGTAAGAAGTTAAAAGTCAAGCTAACCTCGTGAACAGAGGGCAGAGACAAGGAGTCTTTTTTATGTCAGTCTCATGTGGAGGAAAACTGAACCAAATATGAACAAGGACCCAGTAACTCTCATGGATCAGTCATTTCAAGTGTTTGGTGGCAGCTAACAGGTTTTGAAAAAAAAGAAAAAGCTGGTCTGGGAACTGTACTTGAGTATTTTAAATTGCTTAAATAGACATACACATTTAAATGATGGGATGTGCAGCTAACCATACTTTTAATACAATACTTCTAGGCAAGGCAACTTTATTTGTACAGCACAATTCATACACAAGGCAACTCAAAGTGCGGAACAAAATAAGATGGCATTAAAAAATAAATACGTCATAAATAATCACAAGAAAAAGAAAGATACAAATATAAAATCCCTCAGTTGTACACACTAGAGCCCTGCACTTGAGCCCTTGGCCCGAGGGCCCCGACGGCCCGACAGCCCGAGGGCCGGGCTTCGGGCCGATGACCGCATAATGACCTCGGACACGGGCCGGGCTCGGGCTCTTCATTTTCAGAGCGGCAGAATAGATTTACGAGCGCACCCACTGAATATAGCGTTCTATCACGCTGTAGTGTTTGTTGTTCTGTGTAGTGTTGTCATTGACAGCACATAGCATTACTTATGTAATGTGCAGATGTGTTGCAGCATCGGGGGCATCATACAGATGCGGCCGTTCACTCTGCACCACTCCGCACACACAGAACTCATTGCAACACATCACTACCATGTATAACTCCGCCCTCTAGCTAAGTCTGCGTTCATATCAGTGCGCGGCACTATATACTACGCTAAAACATTGTTATGGGAGGTTACAAAAAAAAAAAAAAGGCGGGCTTGATGCAGGTTTCGGGCCTGAAAATTCAGAAACCATATCGGGCCGGGCCGGGCTGGGGCGCCACCCCCTTGGGCCAGGGCCGGGCTCGGGCCCAGATAATAGGCCCGTGCAGGGCTCTAGTACACACAGCTTAACAGAACAGTTTTTAACCTGGATTTAAACATTGTCAGAGAGGAGGCCTGTCTCACACTTTCAAGAAGATTGTTCCAGATGTTAGCTAGTAAATACTGTACACTTTTGTTCTAGTAATACTATGCACTTAAACCACCTTTTGTTTCTGATGTCCGTGTTCTACCTGCACACTTTTCTTTTCTACAGAGGATTTGAAAGTGGCACAAAACACAACCCATATCAGGTCTTATAATTTGTTTACCAAAACATAGCAGCCATAGCAACAACGACAGTACAGAGATCTATTGTCTTGCTTCATCCGGAACAAATTTGCCATGTTTTCTGCGAAGTGCACACATTTTTCATCTGCTATTTTCCATTTTTAAATATTTTCTTGATGCATTTTCCTAATTAAACACCTGCAGTCTCGGCCCACACACACACACGTCTTGAATGCTTCTTATTTTGCTAATCTTTTGTAGGGAGCTAGTGCGTGTTGGGTAATGTAGGTGTGTGCAAATTGTATTGTAAAAGAGCCTGCTGGCAGAGAGCGCAGTAGGCAGACGGGAGGCCGAGGGGACTTCATTAGCCAAACAGTTACTCACCTAAATCTTTGGCTCCTTGGCTTTCACTGGCCAGCTCGCCCATTCGGACCAGAGCATCAAAATAGCCTTTGGCAGCAAATGTCACATCTACAAACACAACAAAAACAAGAAGGAAAATGAAGATTCAATTGTAACATACACAAACAAATGAGAGAGACCGACAAGCTGTTACTGTTATATGTAAATAGAATTAAGACTTTTATTCCATGTAATGAGACGATTCAACCTGAGCGTGTGTAGTTTGGCATCTATGCAGCCGGATGCAAATGAGGGAAACACAAACCAACAAAATGGGAAGTAAAATCCCAGTGCAGTTTCTCGATAGAAAATCATAAACCGTATTTTTACAGAGCTTCAGATGGAGTGACAGGTTGAAACTGCTGTATACCATCAGGAATTAGACATCACTAATGCTTGATGCAATTATGGAAAATTACCTTGCTAATATTCGTCATACTTAGTTGCACAGAGGAAATGATTTTCTGACAGATAATCAGGGTGATTGCCAAGGCTAAAGCCAGTGTGTCTGCTTAATGACACGGATTTTTCTATTTTCAATCCATATAATCATGTCACACACACTGGAGACAGAGAGTGGGTCTTGTGTCTAGGGTTGTAATTAACAAATATTTGGAAAACCGATTCGCTGACCGATTATTCTTTTGATAAATTGATTATCGGTTGTTGTTTAGATCCTGAAAGGTCAGTGAATATGGGATTTTGTATACTTCCGACCAACACAAAGCCCCTCGATGCCCCTCGAGAACATCTTCACAAGAGATTACAAAGCACAATTTTGTTACAATCGGGTTGTCGTGAAGTAAAAACACATATACTTATCATAAAACCGCTTCAAGCCTTTTTTTGTTTTTCAAAATGATTGAATGTTTGCTTATCTCGCCATCTTATGTGTATATATGTACGTATGTATTTTAGATGTATGTATGTATGTATGTGTTTATGTATGGGTGCGGATATGTTGTTCTATTGTGCAGGGGATGTGGGGGAAAAAAAAAAAAAGTTACGTAATCTGTAAAAATGTATGACAAAAATGGGACTCTTCAATAAACAAATTTATATAATAAAAATAAAACCGCTTCATGTTTCAAAAAACTATTCCTAAAGTAGTAGTAGTAGTAAATAGATGACTAGTTATTAGTAATAATTAGATGCAATGAATCGAACTTGTTAAACCCAGTATACTTTTGTCCTTTATCAGTTTTGCAGTCCTCACAGGAAACTATAGTACACATTAGGATGATGCACGGTGTTACACAATAAGCAGTTGGGTCAATATTTGGGCAGATTTAGTTCAGAACAAAGGGAGGCTGCCTGCAAGAGATAAACCCTGGTCACACAGATCCACGAGGTGCACAATTCATATATATCTTAGAGATTCAACCATGGTTTAGTTGTGTTTTTGCATACTTCCACGGGTTTGTAGTTTGTAAGTTATCACATAATTGTTTTTTTTTTTAAATCATTGAATTGTTTAGCCATATCCCCTGTAATTTAAAGAATAACTATAATGTTAAAGTGAATGTCAGTTATTTGTCAAAGTGAAGAGAGAGTGAACCTCTCTGCCGCCTGATTGGTCAAAATGTATTCACATCCTTGATGCATCACTGGTCTAACTATTGTCCTCCAGCAAATCTTACTGGTTCCTTTTATGCCAATCAAACAAACCATTTTGAAAGTGATATTATTGAAAAGTACTTACTCTACATAATAGTACAGTGTCCCATGGTCATAATTATGACTACAATTGAAGTTGATGACATGAGCTTTATGGGTAATGAGATTACTGTGCCTGTTATTCCTCATTGCAAGAAATAGCAACACATTTTAAAACAGGTGAAGCCACCAGGCCATATACGGCTTTGATCTATAAAATAAAAGTTCCTTTCAAAGTATGTGAAGAGTGTGCTGTAATCACGTTTGAAAACAAAAAGTATTTAAATACAGAAAAATATCCTAATTATAGGGCATACTGTGTAGTACCACAGAGGATTTTCCATTCAATATTTATTATCCAATTCCTCTGAGCACATTTTGATTTCAGCGAGGAAATGGCTGTGTCACGCTGTTAGCCACACGCTGTGACCTGCGCGCTGAGCCAACATGGTCCATTTTATTTCCTCACCCTGGATTTGTCATAGCAAACCGTGGGGTCACTCTTTGGCTTGAGGAGGCGGATGATTAAAGCACATCACAGCACAACTGGACTTCACACATGGGGCTTCCTCCTGAGGGCTGGTTCTCATTGTGTGACACCAGAAACTGAGGTGATAGAAACATGGGCTTTGTGGTCAAACTTTAACTTACATTTAAGGGGGAAAAGAAAAAAAAATCACAACAGATTTCAAAAAATCAAAACTTTTCTGAAGGAGGCACAAATGTTTGAACCACACTTTAGACGACCTTCAATCGAGGACATAATCTTTTCTTACAGCCAAATAAACTACATTAAATTTGTAAAAAAGCAGTGATGCAAGCCCACAGTCTTCACACTGTGTTCAACGAACAACATCACCAAAACAAACCCTATTTTATACTGCACTGAGCCCTGAGCCACAATCCGCCTTGAGCGCCTTGATGGCATCTACAGATTTGTTTTCAGGGTAATGTAATATGTGCAAAGCAGATGTGGAACATTCAAGGTGAAAAACAATAATTCTACTACTTTGCAACAATGGCACCTCCATCGCTCATACTTTAGACAGGCAGGTGGCACAAGCTACTAGAAATTAAATGCTAAAATCTTGTGGTTGGTCCTAGTCTAAGTGTTGACGGGCAGAATCGGGACTCCCTATAATCTTGGTAATTCGTCCCACTGTAAGCTAACCTTTGCCTAATCCCTAACCCTAACCTTAACTAAATTAACGATTCCTAACCTTAGCGCCCTTACCACTAACCAGATTGTGACTTTCAATAGAATATTTCAATAATAGCCACATCTGGGACAAAATACCAAGATATTAGCAGGCATTCTAGTATACTGTATACAGTATGCACAGTTCTTCTCTGTGCTATAGGCAAATGAATCAACTTGTATCATGACTATTGCTATTGGAGACTTATATTAAATATGACACAATAAATAATACAATACAAAAAAATACCTATAAAAAAATCTATTCATCAATGTGCTATTACAGTACATATCTACCATAAACACTTGACAGGACAACTCAAAACAAGAGCGCAGCCAATAACAGGACCTGCTTGTTTTGAGAGTGCAGGTGAAGAGACTTCCAGAGGTCGTGTAGAACATACCATTATCCTGCTGTTTCCACACATGTGTCATTCTGTCTGTCAATCAGCGTGTCCAGGGAAAAGTGGCCACTGCTTTTGAACTGCCTTCACTATGGTCCAGGAGGTGACAGATGAGACCCTGGGCCACAGCTGCCAGAGCGACACATCCTCAACAATAGGACATGGTTTGCAGCTAATTTTATTAAACCGGTTGGCACACAGCGAACAGGGGAAAAGTCTCAGTGTGGAGGGCCTCAAGCTCCGCTCCTGGGCTGCAGAACGTATGCTAATGCTATATCCCAATTACAGCTGAGCCAACCCAAACACAGGAGCATCGTCTTTGCTTACAGAGGCTGCAGTTTTCACATCATCATTAGTGCTCGTTCTATTACACCAATCATGTTCATTTTAAACGCACACGTACAGTATGGGCTAAAGGATCTCATCAGAACAAAGTGCCGAACCTTGGGGGACTGAACCTTCGCTGCAGCTGCCCCCATTCTCTTAAACTCACTACACATTAGGGCCTCAAGACTCACTTCAGACCTTCAAATCACTGCTCAAAACCCACTTGTTAAAAACTGCCTACACTGCAAAAAGTGATGAAGTCAAAAATTGCTCAAATTTGGCAAAAAGTATCGTAATTTGAGCACATTTTGACTGCCTTAAAACAAGATTTGCCAAAGGGACAAATCAAAATGATCTTGCTGCAAAAATATACAAGAAATGTCTCTCTTGGAATGACAAAATAAAGCAATGGTTCTTGAAATAAGACTAAATGGCTTCGTCTTGTTTTAAGTCAGTCAGGACGTACTCAAATTAAGATTAAAAAATACTCAAATTATTACTTCATATTTATCATTTTCTGCAGTGCAAACTTAACTATTACATTTAGCTTTTATATAGTTTCTTATATCTACTTTTGTTAAGATGTGTCCAAAAGAGAGCTAGACATGAAAGATATTTTACTATTATCATTAATTGTTTATATTTGATTATGAATTAAAATCCGACGTCTGTAGAATACAAATGACTAAATTAATCAATAACTGCATCCGTATGCGTGTGTCACTTCATACATTTTGCTGAAGAAAAGGCACCTACTGCGGGGTTGTTTCAAGACCTGATTTTTTGCATATTAAATACTTTAATAAAATCAACAAACATATCCCCCGCTGCTGGGCCATGGGTGTGCGATTATAATAAAATATATCTAATGATCAGATAAAATTCAGATGACATTTCACGATGCGTCAGAAATGTTAAGAAATAATACCTTGAATCACAAACATTCTCAAAGGAGGTTTAGAAATGAAATGCAAAACTGTGGAATATTCCGATCAATGACATCTCCATGGAAACAGTGGCAAGTCCCAAACAGAAAACGACTTTGTACTTTTACGATTACGTTACATGAGTGTTGGAGAGAATTTGTATTTATTTTGGTGACAGATTAATGAACACTTACATTAAAAAAGCTTGTATGTGTATTTTGTTTCATGGTCCAATCAAAATGTAACCTGAAAACTGGGAATACTTTCACATCAACCTATATGATCACCAAGAGATTCCTTTGATCCTTCTATTCTTATAAATATTCTTAAAATCGCTTGTCTCAATAGCATCAATTGGACCGTATATATCCAGCCCACCTCGATGCTCCTGCTCAAACAGTGATCTCCAGCCTCCTCTTGTCGCACTCTTCACACTGTGCATCTGTGGCATTGACAACAGAGAGTGTGGGCTAAGCAGATCAGAGTCTTCTTCACCGACTGTAATGAAATGTGGTGGTGAGGGGGTTCTCCCGAAGACAGACGGTGAGGATTATCAGATATCTCATTGCGAGGCTCACACAATCTGCAGGGGAGGGGCCACAGACGGAGCACTGCTGAGCCTCTGAGGCGCCTCTCAACGCTTTGGGGAGAGCGTACATCTCTTAATTAAGGAATCCTTTATTTCCTATCGTCCGATTCCGCCCACTCACACTTTCAGGGGTGGTGATAACACTTACTTTGAAGGAACACAATCAATCCTTGAACTTGTTTAAAAAGGATCAAACTCACAGGTGTACCATTTGATTTCTTATTTATGGGATATTGAGTCTGAAGCAAAATTACAACACATATGTGCAAGTGCTTTAAGCTTGTGCATGTCTTTTATCTTTTAATCCATTTAGAATTGTTATTTAAGTTGATGAATGAGTCTCAAACACATTTCATAATATTGTTGAGTGTGTGGCGACTTATATGTGAAATAAATCCTCAACCATTGAAGTACCCTTATTATTAGGGCAGGACAAGAAGATAAATACGTCGGAGTGATAGATTAATTGTAATCATCCAATTAGCCAGTAGTTATTTAAACTCAAGAACAATGCACAGACATTCAGCTCCTAAAACACACGTCTGTCACAAGCTTACAGCTAAGAAGCCGTTCCCATCGGCAGGCTGTAATTACAAGAATGAATTATCAATAACTCCAAACAATATGAATCGTCAACATGTTCACTTTAAATAAACACAAAATAGTCTTTCTACGGCTGAACAAACACGAATGCCGACCTCTTACTCCAAAGTCTGAACTCTGCTTTAAACCGTGCTTTTAACTGTGCATTTGTATTTATGTGTAGCAAAAAAGCCTTTAAAAAACATACAATTTATTAGACGGCCATTTCTTAACTGAATTCATGACTTTCAATCTAGACTAAAATGTTTGAAATCCAAATTATTTTAATCAAAACGAGTGATGGCCACCCAATATATGGGTAACAGACATGAAGGTTATGAAATGTGGATTGTCAGTTATGGGTGATATAAACCATAATTGTATTCTATCTCAAACTCAAGTTGTATAACCTTTTATCTTAGTCATTTAATTTCATTCAAACACAAAACTCTGTACAACATTGTGACATGGAGTGAAAAACAGTCTTCTCAAGCAAGTGCCATTTCCTAATTACACCATATGGATGCACGGAGACACCCGAGAGCTTCTTACTCCCTTCTTTCCAGACAATCCTTGGGTGGGTTTAGCGCGGCCCGAGAGTCCAGCCAGTGGCTCTCTCACTACACCAGTCATTGGATTACTTATTGTTTGTGCGGGAGGAGACAGACTTGTGCCGACAAAGGGGGACTCGCTAAAAGCCGGATTAGTTCAACTGTGGAGGGCTGACGCGGAGCAGAGGGAAAGTTTAGGCTTGTTTTCGAGTGAGAACAGCAGATTTAAAGCTGGGGTATACCTTATGTTTTTCTCCATGAATTAGAAATGTGTTTGTTCCTATTGTTCCTACAGAAAGAGTCTTATGGGTAAAATGTTGTGAGCCAATCCAACCACCACATGATGTCTTTGTTATCTCCAACCTGTTATCTTCCGCATACTTTAAGTCAGAGTCACTATTTGACTTTTTGGTTGAGTGCACTTCTCCGTTTGAAAAAAAACTGATCTAAAGAGGTGACAGAAGCAAGAAAATACCCACATGTAATAACTAATGATAGAACCAAACTATATTGAGAGTGAGGAACTAGAAACATGGATTTTAATTTGTTATTAAAGCTGGGGCACCTAACTTTGGAACCACAAAAATAGCGATGAAATAAAATCTATGCAATATGCTCCTGGCTTTTAAAACTTGTTTTTTTATTTATTTTTGGCCTCACATTTTTAGATCATGTTTTCACACCAGAAAAAGACCAGCTCACACTCAGCCAATCAGCTCTTAGTATGTAAAATATCTCTAAAATACAGTATAAAGACAGCATGTTGTGGTCCAATTGGTTCACAAAATGTTTCTTAAACATGACTATTTCGGTTGTGAAGTAAAAAGTGTAAGGTAGGCTGGCAATGCATTAATGCCACAACCCAAAAAGCAAAAATGAACCATGTAGTAGACAAAAAAATGAGATTCCATACAATATAAAGGATAAATGTGTAAATCTAAATTCATATTAAAACAGGTTTATAATTTTAAAATGACTATGGTGCCCTCGTCATTTATTGATCAAAGTGGACTTATTGTGAAATGTGAAAAGTAACTTCAAACTACAGAAAATCAGGAAGTACTCACTGGCAAGGGCCTTCTCATAGTTCTTCCCCATGGCCACAAAGTTCCGCAAACATGGGTTGAACTGCTCCATGATGGTCTGAGGAAACACAACAGAAAAGTGGTGAAGAAATTTTTTTCCCTTCCAAAACAGCGAGAGCGCAGGTCAAGGACACAGACTTGCACCGCGCTCCATTCACACATTCTCCCTCTGATATAAACACCCACACATGTACTGAAAACATTTGAGCAAAAAGAACAACATTCAGCACATTTCAGCCTCTCTCCAAACTGGGCGGCAGCGGCTCAGTTTGTGGTGTGCGTTTAGGGCCCGGGAGGTTGGGGGTTTGAATCTCGCTCCTCACTTGCATCATGGGTAAGAGCGTTCTGTGTCAAAGCAAAATCCTAGTTTGTGATTTTCCCCGTTCTAAACTTGTGTGAGTGTGGTTTATTGATGAAAAGCACAATTAAAAGCCGTTTCTTATATACCTAAAATGTTATAAAGCCCTTCAGTAATCCTGGTGAGTTGGTTTCATCATGTGTTTAATACTTCAATGTCCGACACCAACAGACTTTAAAGACAATTAAAATGTTTTAATTTCTGAAAAAATGCAGAAATGTTAGCATGCTAATTACCCAAACAAGTATAGTGTCGATATACGCGGTTCACCTTTCGCAGTCTCATTGTTTCACAGACTTTTTTTATGTTCAAATTTTTTTTTACATTTTCTTTTATTAAACAAAACAGACAGACACATCAACATTCAACCAGAACATAAAAAGGACACAACATAAAACAAAAACACAAAAGTACAACCCCAGACAGAACAAACATAACGTGAACCTAAGAATAGAAAAAATATATATCAAAAAGATTTCTTGTTCAACCTTTTTTACAGCGTGCTTCTCTTTCTGTAAAAACATTGTGTATGATGTTTGAGTACACATCCTATAACCACTAATGTAACGTGACAATTGCCGTTATTTAAAGTCAGAAGAAAACTGGCTTGTGTGCTCTGCAGTGATTAGTTCAGTCTTCCCGTAGCCCTCAGTGCGATGTTCCCTGCAGCTGTCTTTTACAGTGTATGCACGGCTTTTGACAGCTGCAGCAGCGCTCATGACCTACAACATCTGATACACCTGCACTCGCACTTTAGCAGTTGTGCATTCAGGTGGTTAGAAAGGTGAGGGCGTTTACAGCCTTAAAACATACAGCTGCTACCTATAGAATTTCGCTTATGGCGGGTTATTTTTTTGAATGTATCTCCGTATTTTAGTTTTGTTTTATATTTATCTATAACAAAAATCAAAACTAAACTAAGACAGAAACCAAAATATGGAAATCTGTACACAAAGAAAAAAAGGCATACATAAAGCTCCTGGAAATGTAAATTTAAGATAAGAGATAACAGATCCCACTGTGGGGAAATGTCAATGTTGCAGCACACATACAGGACAGTAGTAAGAGCAAACATGGAGAAGTAGTCCAACGTGCTGTTCCAAATGTGGACAGAACATTCTTTTACCGTATACTCCCGCCGTAAACAAATGTGAAAATGTGGCATATTCTATTGTAATGAGAAAACTTCAGACAAAAGTAATGGGTAATGTCAGCTACTGCTTGGTCTATAATTTCACCACTGGTCTATGTGGTAAAGGAGAATATAAAGGAAAAATAGCCGCTTAGCTAATTCTGGCATATTTACAGAATTTTTCATTACTGTCCCTGTAATAATTAAATAAATAAGTAGATTTGTCTCTACCAATAACAAAGAAAGAACATATCTGAAAACATTGATCTTCATATTTGTTTGCGATACAATCTTAAACATAAGGTTCCTCCATGTCCCTGGCACTGCACTGCAATGTAACAACCACTCACAAAGTCCTTCAACAAAAAGTTATAATTTGTGTAACTACAAGTGCAACAAAAAAACTTGAAAACTTGAGTAAAACCCCACAATTAGACCATCCAGACTTGAGGTTGTGTGTCGCCTCAGTAGCACTTCTTGACTGCATTCTGACATCTGTTTCAACCCCACTGTTTTAGTTCCCTTTCCCTCCTTCTCCTCCTTCTCCTCTCCACTCGACTCCTTCAGGGCTTCCTCCAATTAGCCGTTCCCCAGTCAGCAAGAACCATGAGACGAGACACAAGACCGCAGCAGTACACGCCATCAATACTTCAGCGAAACAACACTGATAATAAGCCACTTCTGGGCCAAATCTGCAGCTGTGAAATGCAAGTGCAAAAGGCTGGGCTCAGACTAATCCATAGGGGAGGCTTGCTCTCCCGTATGCGGCGCTTCTAATTAGTAAATGTATAAGCGTCTTTGCATTCTAGACGTAAATATATTTGCATAAAAGACATCAACAGAACACACCTGGATTTGTCATTATAGCAATTGTGAAGTAGTCATTTGCGCCATGGTTATACAACATTGAGACAGTGCTGTTGTAATCTGTCTTTGTCTCATTTTGTCAAACTTTACCTCTTCTAATATGGACATGTGATAATCTTATATTAGTGTTTGAAAGAAGTCTGCAGAAGCTTACGTTAACACTCCCCCAAAGCAGTGATCATTCACAAAAGTGCGCACGCTCATCCAGCCAACTGCCAATTTAAACTCACCATGTATCATTTGGAAACTCATAACCTCAAGAATTCAGTGTCTCGTGAGAAAATGCGCAATAATCATTCAAGAGACTTCAGCTCCAACAAATGTATTGCAATATTTTCTTGTCTGTTTTACAATCCAGAATAAGAGAAAAGAGTGGGGGGCAATTTGGAACTAATCAGATAATGGGGTGAAGCATTTACCCCTGAGGTAGGACAATAGTGAAATGGTGCTTTGATTAAATAATTGATGTTTCAGCTCTAATCAGAATCAAGTTTTATCTGATATTTACAAAAATATGAATATGACAACTGTTAAAAATCATTAATACACAGACACCAACATATACAAGGGGTGTGAAGACTGTGAAGACCTGATCAAAACAATCAGGAATTGTTCAATGAAATCTATTTAAAAAAATGCAGGCATTCTAAACAACAAATAAATCAAAAGAATAACCGCTAGATTAAATCCATTCTGTGGCCCATCCAACACGAGTAAACATATGCTCAAAACAAGCACTGAATAAAAGTACTTTGTTGTTCCTATATTTCCGGTTTCAAATAACACTAATTCCAAACGCTGTGTTTATTTGACATTTGTTGGTGTGGAGCATGGTGAAGAGATAACAGCATAATTGGGGGAGATCCCATTCTCTAGTGTGCTCATATAAAGGCTTCCCTGCTGCCTCTGCCTGTGCATGAAAAGATAAAAGACTAAAACCCTCCCCACGGGGCTAAGCAAGGGGAATGTTTACTTGCAAAACAGACCTCTTTTTCGCCTGATATAAAGTCGATTGCGTTCGCTCCGGTTTCCCAGTTCACAATATTCACACCTACATTAATAAGAGGCTTTTTAATGAATATTGGTGAGGTTTTAACTAGTAGGAGGTGTATTGCATAACAAAGCCAGTGCTGCATCATTACTGTGCACACTTATACTGCGGAGTCGAAAGGTATCCTCCGTGATCTGACCGAACACATTCCCACCCACAGCCAATTAGTACCGTTCTCCATCCATAAAAGCAAATAAATACACAAATGTATTCAAAAAGACTAGCAAAAGAGAGAGCTCGAGGTATTCTTAATCTCGTCCGTTGCTAAATTTGTCATCCCAGTTCTCTTGTACTACATTGTTAGCCTAATTGAGACGGCTAATTGGAAAATGGAACAAAGAGTCGCACAAACGTCAATATAGGAGGGCAGAGACTCGGATGTGTCTCTGCCCTCGAATAAATAATGAAGTCCAATGTCAAATATTGTATGTACAGTATGTAAAGTATAGTGCCATAACAGTGCGTATGTCAGGGCTGAAGCGACAGATGACATCACAGTAAAAGGAGTTCCTGAGCTGTACAATAAATACAACTCATGCATGCACACACACATACACACACACACACACACACACAATCTTGTCCAGTTATGGCACTTTAAGAAATTTTGCAAACTCTACACCTTCACAACAGTAATGCATAATCTATTGCCACACAGTACTGTATGATCAAAACATACCTTCAAAAAGCTTATTCGGTCTATAAAATTTCATAAAAGATAAACTTGGGTTTCATGGCCTCCCTTGTCCCCTCTGACAGGAGATGTCCATCCGTAACCTGCCACAGATTCAACGCTGAATCTGTGGCAGGTTACAGATGGACAGAACTAAAACCTGTGCAGAAGTGAGGTCTGAATGAAAGCAGCCAGACATCCATTTGAGCAGATTTACAGTGAAGAGATGGAAATGAACAAAACCTTGATATGAATAATAAACATGTGCAAAGTAACAGCCGCTTAATGGAGATCACACGCAACAGAACGCCGAGACCCCTTCATCTGTTGCCCCCAAAGACGAGATGTGAACAGCAGAGCCATACTCTACCTGGGATTTATGTGGGGGTGTTACGAATCAGAATATGACATTTTGTTTGATTCATCATGCATGTGATTCATGATCAAGATGACTATATTCACATTTTGTTGACAGGAAAGAAATACTTATATGCTTAAATTATAAGTTTAAATATGTACTTAAAAAGGTACATACATTTACACATCTGTCACAAAATGCACAATATGTTCTTGTGTAGTGTTGTAAATGTCACTTATAAATGCTTATTGCTCATATGATTGATCAGAAATGCTCACACATGCCGCTTGTGAACTCTCAATTGAGGTCTTGAGCACCCCAACACTAGTTCAATCAAGCGCAGTAGGGAAGAGCTCATGGGCAAGGGTTTGCTCCAACTTGCTCTGGCTCTTATAGACTCAGTGAAAACTGAACTCCTTGAGGATCAAACCGGCCTCTTCCGCACTATGGTCAGTCCACACTATACATACAGTAATGGCCCTAAAGGGGTGTAGCGAGACATAATTTATTATTATCAACATTGAATTTGGGTTAGTATAAAGTAATTGAGGATTTTGTTTCACTACAAATTTTAGTTTTGCTACTTCATAGAAATGATAGAGAAGTTGCAAAGAAAGTA